CAGATTAGATGCTCACATTGCTGATCACTGGATTGTCTGGTCCAGACTCGATTATTTACAGACCGCCGCCATATAGCTGGAGTATTGCTGAATGAAACCGGCGTAAAACTAAACTCGCTCACTCATTCACTCACTCAATTTTGCTACTGCAGATATGTAGAGTCTTGGCAAATGCATTAAAATATAACTTATGCTTCAGATGTGTGTAGCACGTTCGAACCTCGACTTGAATAAAGTCTATCAAAAACTTTAACGTGCTCGCCTTAAATACGGGAGAGGTAAATTACTGTTCTTGTCTGAAGAGCCCACTTCAAACAATTAAGAATAGTTTATTCCAAAGACACATTACCTTGAGCAAGACGCAAAGTGGGTAGAAACAGTGTTGTGGGAGAAACTGAACAGTAAAAACACATAAAAATATACCAACGAAAGAAAAATCGCCTGTAAAAGGATTTGGTTTTCGGTTAAGTATTTAATGGTAACAAGACCAATTCCTCTGGCATCTGCATCTAAAGCAAATGGAATTGAGCCTAGGATGTAACATTCCCTTTTGCCCAACACGGCAGTTCTGAATAAGAGCGCGATAACCCAATGTCATCGTGGGAGGGCCATGTTCATAAGAACCTATAGTGATAGAGCTAACGTAAGAAGGCTATTGCCTGACACGTATTTCAGCCAGAGAACTGTGAGGGCGTATTAGTTTGTCATAAGGCAGTGCTTCTACAAGTCCGGCTTCAGTCACGTCCACATATCCCACTGTTAGGACCGTTGTGACTTATTGTCCGCTTCAAGGTAAGGTTATCTATTTTTGTGAGATGACCATGAGATATATTTAAATGTTCGGGTTGCTGTATAGCTTACATATTTACAAAAGGTTATCATCTTAAGTTAGCTTATTGCTTCCATGTTGTTTCCATTTTTTTTAAATTACAATTTTTCATATTCTACTATTGATCAGTAACGCCTAATATCATTGTTTAAATCATTAAACAAGTTTCATGTATATTTAGCTGACAATCTCTTCAGCATGGAATCATTAAATATATAGTTCTTCTGTTATGTTCGACTAAGATTGCACCAGAGCAGGGTGGATGTCGAATAGATTTGTTGCCTAGCGGTACTCAGTTCATATTGTTTCGAAACATATGTGTTATAAATTATTCTTTTCTGCTGGCGTTGGGGCTAGCTATGCTATTGTGAGTTGGAACATTTTGTTTCTTAGTTTAACGCTGCACTCAGGAACATTGCAGCTGTATGACGATGGTCTGTACATAATCGAGTCTGGACCAGACAATCCAGTGATTGTTTATCCTTATGTAACTGCACTTGTTGAGTCCATCATATACAGTCATGCAGCTGGAGGGGCGGTGGGGTAACCTAGTGGTCAAAGGATCCGCTCGTAATGCCCGAAAACCCGGGTTTGATTCCCCACATGAGGTACAATGAGTGAAGCCCATTTCTTGTCCCCCCCCCCCCCCTTCCCCGACGTTATATTGCTGGAATATTCCTAAAAGCGGTGTTAAACCATACTCACTCTCTCATAAAGCTGGTATATTGCTCAGTGTAGTGTTAAGCAACAACACAAACTTATAATAAGAATCAATAACAACCTGCTTGAAGGGGCTATACAGTAAAAATATGAAATGATATCATTTATAAGAATATGAAAACGTATCGTAAAATAGATTTTTTCTATAGTCAGACCTGTAGGCAAAACCGTTAAAAAAACGTCGGAAACTAACGTCATAGTTGAGACTTGACTTGCGGTCGGTCGCTGCTGAGGATAGTGTTTAGTAGCTAACTAGCTTTCGCCATAGCATCATTGGACAATAGTAAGTGAGTATGGTTTTACGCTGCTCTAGCAATATTCCAGCAATATCACGGCGGGGAAGACCAGAAATGGGCTTCACACATTGTACCAGTGGGGAATCGAACCCGGGTCTTTAGCGTGACGAGCGAACGTTTTAACCACTAGGCTACCCCACCGCCCTCATCGAACAATAACACCGATGTTGAATTTTCGCTCAGTGACCTTAAACATATTCGTTCGTATCAAAATCAGCACGTGGTTAGTCTACATATTATTGAGTGAGTGAGTGAGTGAGTTTAGGTTTACGCCGCTTTTAGCAATATTCCACCAATATCACGACGGGGGACACCAAATATGGGCTTTACACATTGTATCCATGAGGGGAACCGAACCCGGGCTTTCGGTGTGACGAGCGAACGCTTTAACGACTAGGCTACCCCCACCGCCCCTAAATAGTCTTAACAGCAGAATGGTAGATCTACGGAGTGAAGACGATTAATCAGATGTCAGTACGGAAAGAGCTTTATGCGTGTCTGTGAGGTGTCTGTACCTATGCCTGCATAGACAGTAACTAATGCTGCCAGGAAACACAACCAATAGAGCATATGTTTATATATAAAAATACACCCACATACCGATAAATAGTAGATCAAGGAAAGCATAAAACGCTACCCTCGCGTTTCTAAATATTATGACTACATATCTAGTATGCCTGTGATGTTCTTACGCCAAACAATTAGCTTAGACCTAAATTTCTTTTTTTTCTATGTTAATTAATGTTATGTAGTAATTGTGTGTTGTTTGGGGTGTCTTTTTATATATAAATCAATGTTATGTAGTAATTGTGTATTGGTTGGTGTGTCTAGTTATTGTTGGTTTAATTGTTACTGCCGTTTCAACAGTAATCATAGTGGTTGGCATTTAGCTTATAATAAGCCCTCTATTAGTCTCGACCCAAACAATCATTATATAATGGACTACAATATGTTAGAGAGAAACACATAAATACTGGTGCGATCTGACCGATCCGGGTTGTTTTAAGCTGTTCGCTGTGGAGAGTATGGGTCGTGAGTCTGAATATAAGATGCTTCCTGTTCCTTATAAATCTGTTAGCACTTACTCGTGTAAAAACACGTAAGACTTGCAAAACGTCGTTAAATCTCACTCACTCACTCACTTACTCACTCACTCACGCACTCACGCACTCACGCACTCCCAGTTGTATGTGTTTTGGTATGGTATATTATCCCCAAAAGGAGCAGTTGAAGGTGAGCCTAAGTCTGTCTTAAAGGAAAAGTGAATTCAGTTTTCTTTTTTATGGACCTCAGATTAAATCATTGAATACGATGGAAACTAATTGAAAACAGATTCGAATAATATACGAGCCATGATAGGTAACACTACGTCTTGGAAAACAAGACTTAATATAATTGATAGGATTTTAACTGCTCCTAACTCTACCATTACATCAAGAAAAGTACATGTTTGCTAATGGCTAGCCAGCTGATGACTACCATAAAATGCCCGCGTCCCACAGATGGATCAGTTGGGCAGGCATTGACTCAGTTGTGTACCAGATTATATACATTCCACGTACATATTGAAAATAGGTATATGTACCTCCAATCACCATCGTTAGGTAGCAAGTGAATGCCAAAACAATACCCGTAATCAAGTTCTCGATGTGACGCCTATGAAATGATGACATTCTGTGTCAGACGAGCATGTAGAACACACGAAGGTGCAGATATAAAAATCTTTGAACGTCTCCGATTGCAGTCAACAATTGCATAGACCGGAGGAAAATCGATAATCCGTTTTCTTAAGGAGGGATCGTGATTCAAAGCGGAACGATGTTGACAGTGAGAGAGTATTATAATCATGAGACTTCACAGCCATCAGTTTGTATTGAATTAACCTAGTAATGTGACACTGGGCGCCCTTAGCCAATACTCTGTACATGACAACACTAATGTCTGGACGAGGGAATTATCAAACCTTCTTTAGTAAGTTAACTGCACTAAACAAAATATGGGATAATCTTGAACATTTATGTAGTGAAGAATGAACGCTTAATTTCATAGAAGTATGCCAATAGATATCCCAGTTTATATAGTCAGAACCTTTAGACGTTTTGGGCATACCTTTAGCATTAGCGTATGATTAACAGTTGTATTACAAAACAATATTTCAGCATTATCACAGCGGGGGACACCAGAAATGGGCTTCACACATTGTACCCATGTGGGGAATCTCACCCTAGTTTGTGGCATTACGCTTTAACCAATAGGCTACCCCACCCAATTACTAAACAAGATGAAAAAGTGAAATCTGTTTTCTTATATGGACCTGAGAATATATCAATGAATACGAGGGAAACTAATTGAAATTAGATTATATGATACGAGCCATGATGGGTAACACAACGTCTTAGAAAACAAGACTTAAGATAATTAATAGGGATTTAATCGCTGCTAACTGTACCATTATATCAGGAAAAGTACATCTTTGCTGATGGCTAGCCAGCTGATGACTACCATAAAAGGTACCCAATAAAAAGCCCGTGTCCCACAGATGTTAATTACTAAACAAGATGCATCGTTTATTCAGATGACCTAACACGTATGTACTGTATGGCTGAAATATTTGCGTAATAAGTGTTCCTAAGGGTTGAGATGCAGTCACGCGGTCTTGCATTGCCATACGTGTAACACATTTGATTAAAAAAAAATGTAGTTCCGCTGATCGTGATTCCGCAAACTAGTGTTACAGATGGGTTGTTTGATCTGATTACATTTACTCGGACTTAATAAAGAAGATAATCACGGGTCAGATTCCGTGATGGTTTGTTGTTGGGGACTCTACAATTGCACATTAGTGCAAGTAAATGGACGTAAAAGCAAGTATTCTGATAGAAATGGGTCTTAATGTCATCGATGCCACCACTTTCAGTCCCCGGATTCTTCAGTAATGTACCCGATGTGCCTGATGTATAAAACATTAAGAAAATGACAGTGATTTGTTGATGTTTTTTTAAAAAAAGATTAACCTAGAAACAAGGACTCACAATGCAATGACCTTACAAAGTTCAAGTCAACCACTTTAAACGTCAGTACATCTCTAGACGTCTACAGAATTGTCTGTTCGATTAAGATATATTTTACATATACTTTAAAATTTGATGTTTCAGATATGAAACCGATACTTTCCGTCGCACTACTTTTCCTCATTCCCTTGCTGGTGAAAGGATTCACGCTGTACGACGGCTGTTTGTTTGAGTGTGTCAATTGCGTGGAGTCATGGGGAAAGAAAATGTATGACGGCAAGGCCTGTGCCCAAGCCTGCATAGATTCAAAAGGGAGGACCATCGACCCTGAATGTACAAGAGGAAGCGCACCGTCAAACAAACGTACAGAATTTCGGGTAACGTCAGAAGATTGTGAAGAACGTTGCGAAAAGTGTGTACATGACGAAAGTGGGCTACAATTGAATCGTCTTTCGTGCATATTCACGTGCCTTGTGAAGAAGGAGTTGCCCAAGAATTGTTGAAAAAGGACACTTTGAGACTGTAGTATGTGAATATTATTTATACCTCCAAACGTATTTATTTTGTAAGCATTCATCCCCTTTTCCCAAGCGTATTTATTTCATTCAATTTTGACATTCTGTTATATTGGGGGTGTTTGAAATAATGGGCGTTATTTTTCTTAATTGTCCGTTTAAGATGGCCTCGAAAATAGTCAATGTCCACTTGTCCTTTCACATGGCACAACTATACGTGGACGCGAAAAAACCTGAACAGTTTGTCATTGCCCAATCTGGATCGTAAGTTACTGTACAAATGTCGGAATATTGAAATCAATAATGTGAGGTAGAGAAATCTTATTTACCATCGGGAATGATTGAATATCTCGATAAATGGAAAGAACATGTTGGGGTGTTGTCCACTCTGATGGATGCCGATGAAAGTGTGTGTTAAAAGAAAGTTTGATTATCTTGGATTACCCCTGTACACTGGGATGTTTAATTGTTTAGAAGATAGAACCTTCTAGTATCGGCACAAGCTTATGTCAACAATCGGATCATTCACGGCATGCTTATATACATAACAAAGCGCGATCAGGTTCAGTGTTTACTCTGTTTACGACGATTATTTTCATATCATCTGCAATGATACATTTCTTTATATGTCACATGTGATGTTAGTACATTCCATAAATTATTTATTTATTTATTTCAAACAAAAAATATTTCCAACAGTTGGAATAAAGAGTTCGTGCTTTGGAATATCATGTTGGTGTTTTATTGGCTGGTTTCACGGCATTGCTTGTCTGCCTAGATACGGAATTTAGGTTTGCTTTTTACACACTGGACACATTAAGTAGATGAATGGGGGAGGCATATACAAACAATTTTCCGTTTTTGTCAATAAAGGGTCTTTAAAAGGGCCATGGTCTGCTGAGGCCGGATATCTCACGGTCAGGTTGACCGGTTATCTCGTGGCCCTGTCGATTGGCCACTACATTGTCATATGGGGCAGACATCACATGGTCGTATTGGTCGGACATTACAATACCATGTGATCCTGTTAGCCGGATATGACGTCACGCTGTCTGTCAGATACCTCGTCATGGTCATATTCAACCGGATACCTAGTGTTCCGACGGACCTGCCATCTCGTGACCCTGTGGATCGGTCATCACCTAGCCACGAAGGCCGGACATGAAACGGGTTTTTATGTTCTAATTCTCTTCGATCAAACGAACATAAATTATTTATTTATGTACAACATAACACTTCGCATGGGTAATGCCTACCGCAGCTCGAAATTAAAAGATAGGTCAAAGAAACGATAATCATTTATTACAGCCCAGGAAACGTACAAGCCTAACATACAAGTGACACCCAACAACTCTTTTATGTCATCTTTAACATATCCGTCTTTTCCCGTGTCGGAAACCCGGCGGCCATGTCTCTTAAACAACGGATCGGGTACACCTGCACTCGCAGCGGCTGTTGCTCCCCCAGAACGAAAGCTATGCAAACCAAAACTGTTCACATCTATTCCTATTTCATTACATTTTTCCCTGAAAATTTCTCTTGTTCTCGTGTAAGACATTGGCTTATTGCCTCTGAGAACATACTTCTTTTGTTTTCTACAATAATTCACTTGTCTGAACAAGAACTCATGGGAGTCTTCTTTGATATTTGCTAATAACATATAACGGCGAAGCATATTCACTGGGCAGAGTTGGGAATCAGACGCCGCAATCACAACAAATCTGCCGTCTCTATACACGTCTGTCTTACTCTTTTCTATGAAATTACGAACATATCCTTCATGAAAAGAAATATCAGAACGCCTAATTACGGAAACTTCAGAAAATCTGAAAAAGCCAGCATATGAAAAAATGGACATTGTCAGAAGTCTTAAATCTATAAGAGAAGAATTCTCTTTGCCAAATCTATCAACTAACCGTTCCAAAATACCAACATCTACACGGTCTTTCTTCTTGACAGGGTCACTGTGACATCTCCTAGCTGCCTCTTTAATGTTCTTAATTAGGTCATGTTGACATGGATCTGGTAGACCCGCCACTCTGTGCGCCCATCTTATACCGTACACAGATTCCATAATAACAGGAGACCTTTTACCCGACTGAATCAATGACGTAAGGTATAATGTTTTCCAACATGTAAGAGCTCTTCTATATTTTATAACTGTAGTATCTGCTTTAGATTTTAAAACTATATCAGGCATTTTCGTAGATAAGTCAACTAAATCTTGGTGCACCAGAGCCTCTTTCTCTCTCCATATACCAACGGAAAACATACCTGACAAGATATATAATCAACTGTCAAATCTGAGAGCTAACACGAACCCCTTGAAATTATTGAATATAGACTGCTTGCTCCCACCTGAGACAAGGTCTTGCTTTGTGACCTTCCAGGAACAACAAAGGCCAGTATGGAGCGGATGGCCACATAGGCACCACTAAAGTAGTTGGAGCAGTGCACGCTAAGATAAAATGTACAGTTTTGAACACCAAATGTACAGGAGGAACTGCCCAGTTGTTTTCCCCATGCCACTGCTGTGTAAATGCATCAACTGCCTTCGTATCCGGTACCCACGATCTGGAATTAAACCTTTCTAACTTGGTATTCAAATTGTTACAACCTTATGTTGTACTGATTGGCTATCACAAAGATGGAGGTGGCAACTTGTTGTAGATGCTGTTTAGAACTACCACATGAAGCTACACGACAACATGGCTTACTATCTGTAAACCACTTTACAGTTTTGCCACTTAGAACCCTGGTAAACGGAATGAGAACTAATTCTATGGCCTTCACTTCTCTCCACGTCGAACTACCACGTTTCTCTTGAAAGTCCCACACATTTGGAAACACATGATAAGAATCTGCAACATAACCTCCACAACCTATGTCACTTGCATCTGTGAACACAGACAGCATAGGTTGAATAACAGTAGACAACACTCTTGGTTTTAGACTACGCAGGCTGTCTCTCCAAAACAGCAATTCATACACACAATGACAATTTTCTAACCTAAGACATCTATCCCAGGAAGAAGCCTTATATACCTCCGAATACATATGCCTTGTGAAAAGTCTACAAACATCGCCAAAAACTGGAGTAAGAGCTATAACCTTTTTAGAAAAAGATGGAGGAGGACTATCAACGAATGGAATGACATAACCATCAGTAATAGTATCGATTACAAACTGAGGAGCTCCAATATTTACCCAAAAGGAAACACGCTTCTTTTAACTGCCTTTCACGATGCACGAAGTGTTGGATTCAAACTCGTAAAACCTTAGTTGGATGAATTCAGAATCTAACTCAGTATCTCCTAAACATGCAGAATTATCAATGTCAAAATCTGAAGCACAGGTAGCATCCCTCTGTCGTATCTTGGTTTTATGGACTGCTGGCACCGGAACATCGGAACTGCAGAAACTCGACCTAAAACAATTTTAAAGAATACTCTCAGGAAAGATACACACTGTTCAATTGACTAAAGGAACAACTTCAGATATTACAGAAACACAATTACCTGAAGTGAATTATCTACTTCTTGACAACTTGGTTGGACTGTATTGAATCGGAGCTGGCTGACTGGGCTGCACGTAGTGAAGCTGCCGCAGGACAGGAGATCCTCCAGTGGCCGAAACCTCCACAGACGTAGCACTGCTCGTTGGGAGATGGACCTCGTTTGACCATGGGACGAAAAGGCTGGTTCTGACCGGCTGTAGATTCCCTAGAAGCATCAACCATGCTAGCAGAAGACACAGTAGCGCTTGGTGAAACATAGCTAGGTTTTCCTCTGGAACGGAACGAGGACGCACGTCGTTTACGCAGGGCTTTATTCTCAGCTTCTCGAATCTACGTTCTTCCTCGGACCCAGAAGCAATATCGTCTCCCTCTAGTTCAGCTACAACGGCCCATCCAGATGGTGAACAATCCGCTAAGCGGATATACTTGTTCCTCCTCGAGATTTCTGAAGAGAGATCTTCAATGGGTCCCTTCTGCTTATTCTTGTTAGGTGTATCAGAATCCACCGAATGGTGTGAAGGGGAAACCGAATGCCGACTCATAGCAGAATGAAACTGAAAAAAGCTGCTCGCTGTGTAGTGCGAAGACCTCGAATGGCTAAACTCATATTCAATCTCACCACGTCACCTTCGTCACGTGGCTTCTGCACAACTCGCACGTGCAAAACACGCTCACTTCAGTAGGCAAGCTCTACCGTGTTTAACCCAAAATAAATTCATTTGTTTCTGGATTAACATATTGGTATTTTTGAATGACGGAACAGAATATGTAATTTTAGAAGGAGATATATCTAGTGTGTTGAAAAACTTTGTTGTTCCACTCCAGGTTAAATACCGTTATCTATACATCTGAAACCTCATGTTAAAGTGCTCGGTTCAAAATGTAATGTACTTGAGTGTGAGACTTCATTTAATTTCAGAACACAGTAGTTCATCTCCATTCCACCCTGACGACAAGAAAAATTGTGAAACGATGTTGTACGCACTATGACAACTTGGTACAAAAGCCTGTTGTCTCAGAACATTCGAAAAATGGGTCACAGATAGTCAGAATTGAAATATATCACTTAACCTCAAGATTACAATACTCGCAGGCTTGACTGGTTACAAATAACGGTTCACAACACATAGTGTTGCCAAACAAAGTTATCAAACAACTTTCCAAAGATATTTGTTCTCATCTAACCGCAGCCTATTGCATATTTGCTCTTCGAGGGGCGTCCCAAAAGTAGTCGGCCTCACCTAGAAAATTATACAAATGCAGCTGTTTTTATGTTTTATTTTTCTACAAATTATCTGTCAAGCTCAAGCAAATTGCTTTTGCCATGTTCCAGCCTCACAATCCCCATTTTGGTTGACCTTTTATCTTGGTACCCTCAAAAAACGCAAAATCTGCAATAAATGCATCACAAACTTCAGGAAACAAAATATGCAAGACACATTTTGTGTGTTTGAGATAGTCAGAAGTACTCTAGAATCAAACGTAGATATTAAAGTGCATAAAAATGCAATTTCAAACTACAATCGCTTGTTAAGGTGACTCCCCCATGATGTTTACTGAAAGAGCTTGTTTTGGAAACACTACCCAACCCCTTTCAGATGATGTAATCATCAGGACATAATATATTCTAATATTTTCACTTATTCATACATGACGCCAAGGGTTCAAACTAAAGACTGAATGGTCACACAAGTGTCAGCACTCAATATATTGTAAACAGTGTCAGCTTGAATATCTGGACATAATGTGTTTGAAAGATTAAAATGGGAGTGTCCTTTAAAAACAGCCCCGTCTAAATATAAATCAAGCAATTCAAATCTTTGAATGTTGATTATGGCGGAAAGTCATCCAATACTATACTGAACATATTTTGCATGATATTACCTGAGGGCATACCATTATCCAAGAGGTATAAAATGACAGATCGTTTTTCACTTTCTGCAATCTTTAAATAAATATTATACCCCAATGTGTTGTGGTGAATCTCGTTAACCACGTTACCCACATATGTGAAATTTTTTATATTGTTTTGCTAACGATTCCTTCAAAATAAAATGGAAGCTTTTCTAACATTGGACATCGAGAATATAGTTAGGAGGACTCCTTTTGGGACGCCCCTTGTATTTGGACCAAGCCTTTTCTTGAAAGTCAACGCGACAAGTCATTTTGGGGCAAATCAAGATACATTCTCACTTTGTATGGATGGCAG